TGGGGGCGGCAGAGGTGCGGGGACGGGTTGTGTGCGGAGGCGGTGGCAGTAGCAGTGACGTGGCGGAGGCGGGAGGGCTGCTGGCAGTGGCAGAAGCAATGGCGGATGTGGCAGAGGTGGCGGGCTCAGAGACGATGGCGTTGGCGGGCGCTGATGGGCGGGGCGGAGCGGGCGCGGGGCCAGCCGGGCGTGAGCGCGGGCGTGGAAGTGAGCGGGCGCGGAGGCTATGGCAGTATGGCAGCGGCGAGGGAGGGCTTCGGCGGAGACGATGGGAGTGGCAGTGGCAGAGACAAAGGTGGGTGTGAGGGCGGCAGCGATGGCGGTGGCGTTCTGTCAGACTAGTGCTGCACATAGATTCCGTGCCAGGACCTTCGCCGCTCCGCTCTGGTTCACTTTCACTCCCGAGGCAACGGCCTTCGTTGCAGCCTCCGCCGTTCAGACTGATACAGTGCCAACTCTCCAAAAACGTCGCGGACGAAGGTCTTTGGACTCAAGTCTACTAAAGTTAATGCATTGTGTCCGTTATCCTCTACACTCCAAGAAAATGTACTAATCTCGAGCTTTACACTTAAAATTTTGCCACGCTGTTAACATTTTCATTAACACATTTTGCTGTCTCCATGGGTGTGAAAAAAACGCGTAGTTCTTTGCAACACAAAGTGGGTAGGTAATCTCTAAGAAAGGGTGTGGGGCCTTTCGGGCGGACGTAATAAACAATACTCATTTACGAACTTGTAGTTGGTTTAAAATGCGATGTGAGTGAATTGAATCTTTTGCCAAATTCAAATATTGGATAACCCATGGATTTCATTTCATTTTTACGGTTTATAATTTAAAATATTTTCCAACTCTGTTCGTTAGTGTATTTATATCCAGTGTCACTATTTTGGAGGCATTGATTAAATTAGGGACTCAACGGATGTTGACTATTATACTAAATAAACACGCAGTACATTGAAATTCCTAAATATAACTAAAAATACCTAAATATACGAGCACCACAATACCTATATACAAGCAGTAGAGTCAGAAAGAATGATGAACCACTTATCACAACTATCAAGAAGTACGATGACAGTAATAATGTTTTGATATTGTATTCTAAGGAATATCAAACTCTCTAAGCAACAACAAAAATATTATCATATTTTGTACACAGACTCAATTTTGGAGTGATACTGACGTTCTAAACCACTTCTCAGATTCATGTTTCATAGCATAACTTCAACTGGATTCATGATACTACTTAACGACATTGCCACTGCTCGTCTGCTAAAACTGAGGACTAGGAGGACGTCGTGCTGTTTCAGCGCTGTGACGAATCCCATTTTTATTCCCATCCTACCAATCGTACACCGTTCTGCTCTATTTTTCAAATAAATACTTTCATCTCATCCTCTATCTTTTCTCATATTCTCTCTCTCTTTCTTTCTTCCTTTCTCTCCCTCTCTCTTTCGTTCTCTCTCTCTCTCTCTCTCTCTCTCTCTCTCTCTCTCTCTTTTGGATCACTAAAGTTCTCGGTCTTTTGTTTCCTTTCTCTCTTACTTTTAATTTTCATTCTATGCTATTTAATTATTTCTTTCCTCTAAATTTAATTCTAATATTTAATTATTTAACGTTGAAAAGTGAACAAATATCTGTGACACACAAAAATATCATTCTCCTTTTTATTTCATTTTTACATTTACCCCATTTAAATAATTTGATTACTCCATAATCGAGCGATTTGTCTTTAATACCAACGAGTACACTCCCTCAATCATTTTCAAATAATGTATGAAGAACCAACCTTTCAACTCATACATCACTTTTATAGAGTACAAACATGTGTGCATACATGTGTTATGAGAGCGTGATTATGCATTTGTGCATTTGCTCATTTATGCAACGTGATACGTGCATTGGCCCACAAGTGCTTGTGTTCAAAATATTATAATTCGTGTGATTTTAATTTTTGTCTAGATGTGTTTTTCTAATTTGCAATCTTTTTGTTTCAGTTGTCAAATATCTTACAACTTTCACCATGTGTTAAGACATTATATTCAAATCAAAATGTCTCCGTTTCTTCTTTGTATTTTCTGTGCACTGCAGTTGCTAATTTGTGTTGTAGTTTTTTTTTTTGGCAGAGTATAGTGTCTTGGCCTTTCACCGCCATCCTGATTAAGGTTTACTATCGAGTACTGTTCGGAACAGAGTTCTCCGACCACGGTGTGGATGGGACGTAGTCCTCTTCCCAGAAACGGAGGGATGGTGGGGAGGGCATCCCGGCCAGCAACGTACTACTAGCCGCGCGAAAAACACTTTTGTATTTCACGATCGCCGACGTTTTTCTTGCATGATTATTTCAGCCTCGAACTTACCTTATTCAGTATCTGATGATGATCTTCAGGCTTCACTCTCTCATGAATTACTGTTAGAGTCCAAATTAACAATTATTTCGTCAATGATGTCCGGTACAATACCATCGTTTTTCCAATAATCACTTTCTATTTTTTGCACATGGCTGCAAAATCGTTGCCAGTCCTGCACGGTGACCTCTTGTATTGCAGTTTCAATGTTTTCTTGCAACTTGGTAACTGGCATATCACCTGTTACTTTTCGTTCCCTAAATGTTCGCTTTACTTTCACCCAAGCAAGTTCAATTGGGTTCATCTCACACCAGAAGGGAGGAAGTCATACAACTGCATGTTCGTGAGCTGCTAACAACTCATCGATCTTGTACTGCTTAGCCCGTGGTTTGAGAGGTACAAATCAGTCTTACGCATACTTTCTTCACAATGCACTCCCTTCCTTTGAAGTCATGCAGTCATGTCAGCTTTTCTTGAGTATGCGGACGGCGTCTTCTTGACTTCCATCCTGTGGTATGGAACATTGTCAAGGACTACAGCATGCACTGGTAGTTGGGGCAATAATTTTTCACGCATCCATTTTTCAAAATGAATGCCATTCCTTTGGCCGTGGTAGTCTCTCACAGTAATACCAGCTCGAAAAATTAGACACGTGTCGCAAAGAAATCCGTTTTTCTCCCTGCGTGTACAATTATTAGTCTACTTGGTGCATTTCCCATCACTTGGACACCACAAACATCATCACTCTGCTAGCACTTTTGAAATTAAAGGGTGTTATCAACCCATGTTTCATTCACATAGATTATATCTCGGTTCTTTTCTCAAAATTGTTTCAATTGAACAATGCATCTGGATCTCCAATCCAGTAAGCTTTAGTCGTCACTACCTTTTCTCTCATGAAAAAATCTAGAATCGTATTTCGAATGACACACTTGTCAAAACTATCTACATGGACAGAATTGCCACGTGACACTCTTCTCTTCTTACCAGGAGACTTCAGCTTCCGATTTGGGCTATTCTCATTCCTCTTTTTATTTTCTTTCCGAATTGCTTTGATAGTGTTGAGTCCAACTCCTGTGTATTCGGAGGCTCTTTCACTCGCTTTCATTAAAGGTAAATGTAAACATTTATTTCCTTTCTCCCTATCACATTTTTGAATCACATGGGCAATGATATCGTGATACTCACTGTGTATAGTAGTATTAGTAACTCTCTTTGCCATGATGAGAAATGGTTTTCACACGTTAACACTCGCATCCTGCCACAAGCGAACTAGCCGCTCTGATGTTCTTGAACGGTTGCGATTATGTCACGTGACGTGAGGTGCAGTGCCCTCCTACCATGCCGCTCGCCCCACGCGGAAACTGTCACCCCTCTCCGACAGTCGGAATACTGAGACCCGAACAGTACCTGGGATTACTTAATCTCTGAAGGCGCATGTCGGAATGGTTCCTTGTTTGCCGTCCCAGGAATAAATGAAATATACATCTTTGGCTTACGAGTGGGAGATGTTGGGTCGGGTTTTCGTCTAGGGAATATTCTAAATGGTAAACAGTTCCTAAATTTTCATAATTTCTACTTTTCTAGTACAGAGTTTAAATTGAAAACCTTTCCTAAAATTGAATTGATCGTATCCACGTTTTTAATTCCTTTTTTATTTAATTTAATAACAGAATAATTAACATATTCATATTAATATTGTTATTATTATAAAATACAGTATTATCATTACAAAATACATTATCTTCCAATTTTTTCCATTTCTCTCGAGGCTCGAACTCTTGACTCGATGTTTTCGCTCGTATGCTGACGATATTCCCACCCTTTATAGTCTTTTTTAGGAGTAATTCAAAAATACGTACGCAATCTTTGCTCCTTCAAAACTACTGTGAAATAATTAGTAGTACTTTCACTAACTTAAACATTGCCCTTTCAATCCTCTTGTTCGGACTACTGCGCTTCATTGTAGATGTATTGAAATGAACTGTATTGACAAGGTGAACGCAAAATACAGAAGTTCCGAAACTCTTTGATAGCTCAGGTAGGATTTATGTAGGAGTTCTGGATTGACAGAAAAGAAGTTCTTGCACAACTACATTTAATAATCACTGCACTTAAGCACTTGATTACATGGCAAAGTTACAAAATCACAGTACATGATAGCTGGAGCACAATACTAGTAAATTTGCTGGTGCGAGTGGTCTAGTGCAAATAACTTACATTACACAGACACCATAGATGGAATTCGTTGTAGCACACCAATTAGGGGGAGCCCTACTTCGCACAGAACGAAACTTTGCGCGTGCTAACCGGAAACAGCCCGAGATTGCAAATAAACTAAATGTCCAAGTGGCATGATGAAGATAACATACACTACACAGACAATACATTTGAAAGTTGCGCGAACCAACTGGGAACAGCCCGAGGTTAGACAGTAAGACTTTTACGTATTTTAATATACACAGAGCCCACTAACACGGACCACACGTGTGGCTTCGTGCGCTGCATGTGCGGAATCTAATTGGCGGTTTAACGAAGGGAGATCGTCAGGTAGTTAGCGCTCGTGCACTCAGGGGGAAGGGAAGGCAGTGGACAATCACACTTAGCCTTTTGAATTTGACAATAGAACGTTCTGGAGGGTTCCGTCCGTTGCGAACTGCTAACGGGTGGAGAGGAGCACGCTCGCACGTGTGTTTCTGGGAAGGCCGTAGGCGGCATCCGGTGGAGTGGTCTAATCGATGCAACGGTCGGGCGCTGTGCCGGTTACAGATCAACTGTTCTACCTTGGGTCGTATGAAATAAAATTATATTTATTCTGCTTTGCTGTGGGCCCGAACACCTCTTCTATAATTAACTTGCTGAGTCACGAAGTATAATTTGAGATCAAAGGCCTCAAAGAAAGGTTCCCCTCACTATAAACCCTATAAGCACTGTAAACTATTTAAGGATGAGATATTCATGGCCATTGTATTAAAATTTTACTGACTCGACAATCATCGGCACTACCGATGCCACCTACATTTCAATTCATGGCGATGGTGGCTATCTTTGTGACGTCACGCTTAAAAGGTTTAGATTCCTTTATCTTCTAGTATTTATGCTTTCTGTGTACACCATAGCTTGCGAGTGTTTGAGGTTTATTAATTCAAGAATTGCTCTCGAAGCTATTTTATAGATAGCTGCAGAAGTACTATTAATAGTTGTTTGATACCGACGAACATTGTTTCTTGTGGGTGTAGTGAAAACATTTATTTAACGTAGGCATTCGACAACTGCCAACGATCAGAATCCAGACGCACGACTTAAATGTATCTAGAAGGTATCTTGAAGTCTGAACAGTATATTGTAAATAATACACCGTTTAATATTAAACTTGAAGTGTTGGTTCGCTAAGATATTCAATACATAAACCTCGTTTGCGCAACATTACCATGTATAGAAGTGAAATCTAAGCATATAGATTTGTTTATAATGGTAACAAATGGTATTTATTACTCAAAGGTGAAAATATTAGTTTTATTTTTTTGGCTTGGAATTGCTTTCCTTGAGGTACGTAAGAACATACAAACTAATCCAATATTTTAGTGTACAAATCGTTTTTTCACTTTTCACACCACAGCAAACTTGCGCCCTGCCTCTCCAAAACCCCTCTCAACAATCTAAGGCAAGTTAAATAATATTATAAAGAGTAGGGTTGTATTTGCCCGAACTTGTATTTTCGCATGAATATCATTACTTATCTTTCTCAAATGTAAAAAGTTTTCTAATATTTTCGTGACTATCAAGGAAAACGAAAAGCTAACTGTTAAGGAACTTAACTGTTTTTAAGAAGGTGTGTTTTTCTGTAGGACATATCTGGACATAGGGGAAGGGTGGGGATTAACATGCCAGAGTTCTGGCACGGGTACGCAAGTTGACTGTATTTCTGTATACTCAATACTTTTACATTACAGCTGATTTTTTACATTCATTTTTGCAAAGAAGCATGTGCCTAACAATTTTGAAGTTTTTTATTGTAATTCTATTTTAAAGAGTTTTAACTCTCTCATTTAATACATGTATAATTGTTTCTTTGAAAATTTTGTTTTGTGAAGTGTTAAGTTCACTAGAAGAAACAGTTCTCAGAGAATTTATTAAAGGTTGCCTTTCATACTCTATGCCTCCTTGGATCTGATGCTTAGGAGATTTTTGTGTTTTCTTCCGAAAATCATTTAGGAATTACGCGTTGTGGCTCATTAAACTGAGTCTTTAATAAATTGTATTTCCTTACCTTTATTTTTTATATAAAAGGGAATTAAGGACAGAGTATGATTGTTGTCGCAATTAAACTTGCGGCTGGCTTTTAACTTGCCACTTTTCTGAAATAAACAAAATTTTATCCATTAAGCTACGCAATATCCTTTATCTACATAGGTTCTTTACCATCTACATTCATTGTATAAAGCGTAGTACTACCCACGTTCTTGTCGAGTACTTATTGAGCAAGTGCCACCTACGTTCATCGTCAGTGATATGTTCTTCTACGGCTACGTTATCTCAAGAGTAATCATTTCTCCTAACATATCGCTATGGATGCCCAAGGTAGTTCCCGCTAAACTCTCACCACACATGTCCTTCCTCCTCTTGCAGGTACTTCGATGTGTCTCCCGTTCCCTCCAGTAGCCTAGGCGCATTCTTCCTTCGCATCGCAACCTGCGTGTTGCACAATCATCTGTTTGCAGGCAGGCTACGGAGCCCTGCACGACTCGCTCTTCGTTATTCTCCTTCACTCGGGTCCCTTCCGTGCACTTGCGCCTAACCCAACAGCCCCGAAATCTTCGCCTTTCCCTTTCTTGTGCTGTTTGGCGCCTCCCACACCGCCGTCGACGCGCCGCCGGTATTATCTTGACATCTCGCGAAACACCGACGAACAATAAATTTAATTTGGACACCACGAAACCCGAATTACCCACCAGCGTAAATTACTTCTCACAATGCCGGGGGTAGAGTTGTAATCTGATTAAAGAATTTTCTGTACACGTTGCAATTTAGGGGCACTTTCGAAGCTTACTACCGCAGCTCCATGGCTGTCCCGACCTTATGTCGGCAGACTTCTCTGCCTGCCGTCTCCGTTTTTCTATCTCCTTTGTTACGAGTTCCTGTTGTTTTTTAAACATAGCCACCGTCGGCGACGCTCTTCTAGCAATTAGGTTACGCATTAACCATTATCCTTGTAGCTTCTTTACCAGATAGTTTCTTTACCACACTGAAAAAGGGATCCCATTAATCGCAGCAAGGTTTCCAGAGTTACACAAAACCTTCCTTCGCAAAACGGTAACATTCTTCCTTTTCCTGGTTGCGACAGCATCTAAATAAAAGTCAACCTGGCTGGACCAATCAGCCTATGGTTTCTGATAGGGTGATGTTACTTCAGAAATGGACCTATCGGCATCATCAAGCCTGATGTTGCAAAGCAGTTGCTGGTCACAGCAGCTAAGTATCTTAACAGATTAATTACGTATTGGAACATTCAAAATCTATTAAAATATAAACAAATAGTATTTAATGTTTACTGTATTTTCAACAGTGTTATTGATATAGTTTTTATGTTATCACTCTAATTCACGAGTAAAGATGTTACGAGTCGGTTGAATAAAACGTCCAAGAATACCCCTGTTTTGGACAAACAATAACCTTGAATAAGAAAAATGATTAAGAAATTAATAGATGCATATCAGCAGCATGGAAAATTCTGGAGCTTGAAGTTTATTCTTTTAAACAAAACCATTAGCATAAAAATGAAAAAGGACACAATTGACACCTGTGTTCTACCTGTTGTGACATGCGGTGCACGTTTTGCCAAAGTCTACAAGTGCTCTGTACCTAATTGTAGAGGGATGTGGGTGTATAGTGAAGAGTGAAGGCGTTTCTTGTTAGGTTGGGTTTGTGTTTTATCTGTAGTTTCGTTACCAGAAGTGATTCGGTGAATCTTACAAGTCAGCGTGTTCAACCACGTATCTTTCTGAAGACTAAAAAGCTTTTTTAATACTATTTTTACTTACGAAATGCAAAAAAGCTAACCGTAAAAGAATATTGAATAATTACTTCAAGTATTTTTAAGGAAGTGTGAATTGATCCAAGAAATCTTCCGGAAATGGTGAATAAATCTATTGTGTTAGTACCTTGGAAGTTATCTTTATACATTTTTAAACAAATAAATACGTTTCGGTTACAAATTTCCCTGTTAGGGAGAAACTTCTCTCTTTGGAAATTGGAGGATAGGAATGAGTGTGGTGTTGAACATGCGAGAGTCCTGACGAAGGGTATGCGGAGATAGGGGAAAACTTGCACAACACAAAAGGTACTATTATTATTATTATTATTATTATTATTATTATTATTATTATTATTATTATTATTATTTAACTAATGTGGTCTTGGCAACTCAATAGACCTCAACGCATCAAAACACGTAAAGTTATAAAAACTGCTAATATTTAGAGGTAACATTATGAAAATATGCAGAAGTAATAGCTAAAATTAGAATATTTCAAAATTGAGAAAAAGTGGTTTAAAATAATCTGGTCTACAAGTTCTGCTTTATATACTACTCAGGGCCCGAAAATAAGAGATTTTCTGCAGAAAATTCTATGATTTTCGGCGCACGATTACAATACCTACTCTTCTCTAAGCAATAACGATTAAAGAAATTGAATAAAAAAATCCCTTGGAATATGTTACTTGTTTGCGTGGTTTGAAGCATACAAAGGGATACACAGTTTACGCGCCTGCTATTAATAAGTTCACATAGAGGCCGCTCTTCTCCTGGCGGCAGATCAGTTGGTCATGAGATTTGTCCTCTCTGTGTCATTCAATTTCTTTTACCAGGGTTTGATGCTGTGGAGAGACTATCCGGATGATTATCAAGAGTCCAAAATTGTGAGAATTAGTTTAGATACGCACTGCAATGGCTTGAAGAAATTTGGGCTTGCTCCATAGAATATGTAATGAACTAGATATTTGTAATAAATGCCCTACTGAATACTAATATTTTTAGTAATAATAATAATAATAATAATAATAATAATGTACCGTGCGATGAAAACGTCGTGACAAAACAGGCACAGAAACGTCTTAAATACAAGTATTTGGATTCGAGATCAGCCGAATGTGGGGCGTAAAAGCACAGGTCGTTCCGATAGTTATAGGAGCTCGGGGATTTGTTTCGAAACAAATTGTGTAAGACTTTGTATGAACTCTAAGGTCATTCAAGAGACTGGAAAGTCCAAGGAATTGCATTATTTGGTACTACCCACATTTTAAACAAGGATTGAAGAGGCACGGACAGTTCTTAGATATGCTCCTTAGGAAGTTGATTGCAACATGTAATATGATGTGTTTGATGTCGTGTGGCTATGGAAATAGAAATTCAAAATGTGAAAGGCTAATAAAATTCGCACAAAGTCAAAATATAAAAATAAAAATACATACTTTTAAACGAAATGGGAAAATAAATGGTCATGGGTAGCTCCTTAACCTAACCTAACACATAGAGAACGACTTCCAAAACGGTTTCATGACGGGCGTGGCGTCAGCATGGGCGTCTCTATCGCGTCAACACGGGCGACCGGGCATTACGATGGAAGAAAAGGCAATTGATAAATACGTAGATTTCCCATTTGAGACTAATCCGCAATATTTCGTCTCGTTCGAGTTTGTCACCCCCTCCCGTCTCGACCCTGCCCTAGCGTTGCCCTCAGTTGTCCCCGATGCCGCCGGCAAAGCGGTGCCGTACCGGTCCCGGCGGCCCGGCCTTTCCCCGCCCACGTAACCGTTCCCAGTGGTAGCAGGGGTTTAAGTGAGATTTATACTTTTTATATGTGGGCGTTACTTAAGACGCTAAAGTTTCTGCGGGCCGCAGAAAAGAAGTGGAACAGGTGTGCGCGATTTATGACTTTTATTCCCGTTTTAAAAGGGCATTTTTATATTTGCTTGCAGCTATTCTGACGTTCTCAAATTAGCTAATAAATACAGGTATGATTAACTACCGGTGCTAGAAGAGGAAATAAAAAGTATTTGCAGGTAGTGTCTTTAATGGCGGCGTAAAATAAAAGCGTATCTCTTCGCGATGAGAAGCTGTTTCTCATGTGGATAAAAGCGGCTAAATAAAATAAATGGTATCTCCAAAGCGTACAATATAATTTGATTTTACCTTTCCTGCTAGTTTCTAGAGAGCAAGCGCGAAAAATAATGGAAATGAGAATTTGCTCGTAATTTAAGGGCCATTGTGAGATGACTCCGCAACTGATACATGTCAAGTTTTAATCTTTTCACCTTCTAACAGCACTGTATAATTCCTTGTTCTGAGACCATTTTCACAAAGATAAAATTTCATTCGGGTCGAATGGAAGGCTGTCTTCCTAATGGTTCTCTACGTCACATTTTGTGAAAGAAAATGCATGTTCTGTTCTCTTCAAGCGTCTGCGTCCTCTGAAACTGTCGTGTCTTACAGGATTCTGTTTCGAAGCCAGGGAGCCAGAGAGGTGGATAGAGGAGATAAAGAAACAGGGGTAAGAGAGCGAGGGAGGAATGAATTATCTTAATGAACTTTTACTTCAGTAAAATTCTTGGGTACAACTACCACTATAACATATTGTAAATGTATTAAATTGGCGCCACTGTAACACTTACTTTTTTCGAAGAAATTAGATACTCGAATAATTTTTTTAAATTTCTTTTATAATAACTTTACCTTACAATATCAGTTTTCTAGCTGTTTCAATTTAAAATACGAAGGAGTCTCCCGTGCCTCACACGATGAAACATCGATTATTTAGGAAGTGTGATCTTGGATACAAATGGTACCAGCCATTTGAATTAGATATCATTTTACAGCGTGCGAATGCAATTTGACTATGAAACACGGAGATCTGAGATGGAGAAAGTTCATGGAGGCGGAGCGGTAGAGAGGGAGAGCGAGAGGAAGAAGCAGAAAAGTGTGAAAGGACAATTAGAAAGATTATAGTGAAATAGAGAGCCAGGGAGGTTAAGGAAGAGATAAAGAAAGGGGGGGTAAGAGAAAGAGAGAAGGTGGGAGATAATGACTGAGGCATAAAAAAGGAGAGAGAGAGAGAGAGAGAGAGAGAAGATAACAAAAAGGAAAAATGAGAGTGAAGATTAGGTACAATAGAACAGAGCAGGGTTGTTCAGCTGGCGGCACGCGGGCCGCATACTGCTTGCGGTGCCATTTATCGTGGCCCGCGAAAAGTTAATAAAATCAAAACTGAGAGCCCCTGGCATTCACGCCGAGCGAGAAAATTGCGCGCCTAGCACTCGCACCCCGTAGAGGTCAACACTCCCTTCATGTAAAAATAGGTTA